GCGTTGGTGAGGTGAGAGGTGGTGGCTGTGGCTTGCTCGGCTTCTCTGATCTTTCAGCTTTCACCCTGATATCTGGCTCTGGGTTTTTATTAAGACCAATTAGGATTTGAGCAACAAGCACCTGGAAAGTCTAAACTTAGCGGGGTAGGGGTTGCTAGAGCATGCTTTGGGATTTAGCCAAAGCTGGAGAGAGGTTGGGAAGATGTGGTGTGGTGACCCAGGGAACTTGGAACATTGCAGCCAGGATGTCCCCATGGTGTTGTCTCCAGTTGGAGATCTGAGACTAGACCTTACACTCTAAGTACTCAACAAGTCCCAGGCGATGCTGAGAAGAGGGCAAAGCTTTGGTCATGCGGATGTTGTCAGGCACAGGAGGCGATTCCAAGGGGCCCAGAGCCGAGGCTTGTGGCTGAGTGGCATCCTCAGGCTGCAGGAATGAATCCTCTGGTCCTGAACTTGGGATGTGGGTGGTGCGGCACAGTTTGTTACAAAGGGACTTATTTTTTGAGAGGCCAGTGGAATGCACCGAACCTTCTGACTTGGGGGAGCTAGAAGTCAGTGTGGACTATCAAAGCAAACTCTGCTGTCCCCAGGTTTGGGGAAATCAGGGGTGGGGTTAAAGCTGACACCAAGCCAGACCAAAATGAATGAGCTACATTTTCGGGGAGGTACTGATACTTGGACCCAAGCTGGTCCACGTTAAATGCTTCACTACTGAGCAGCTCCCAGACTTTTGGTTTGTAGAGTTTTGAGGTCTGGTCTAGCTAGGTTGGTGAGCAGAACCAACTTGTGATCCTCATGCTTCTGCCTCCACCACCCTGGCGACAATCTGTTTTCAGGATGGGAAGGGTATACCTTAAGAGTCTCTTCCTACTCTTGGAAATAGTAACTCGTGTATTTTTCCCTCCAAGATTTGTTACTTTTATCTTTATTTACATGCATGTGCCTGTCTGAGTGAATGGATGCCGCATGTGTGCATTGCCAGTGGAAGGCAGAAGAAGGCCTCAGATCCCTCGGAGTTAGAATTATAGGCGGGTGTGAACTGACCTATGTGGGTGCTGGGATCTGAACTCCCATGCTCTGCAAGAGCAGGAAGCACTGTGAAGGGCTGAGCCATCTCTCTAGTGCCCTGTATGCTTTACATGTGATGTGATGCCAGAGTCACAATGTGACAACCACAACCCAAATAACATGCTGAGTGCTAACCGCAGGTCAGCAGCCATCCACAGCCTTTCGCTATGGCTTAATTGCAGAGAAAGGATTGGGGAGTGGCACACACCTGTAATCCCAATCTGTGAAGCTGGGGCTGGAGGATTATGAATCTGAGTTCAGTTTGGTCTATCTATAAGAAAAATGACAAATCAAAACCAAAAAGAGGGGACTAGGTATTTCATTCTTTCAGACAACTTTGGAAGGCAAGACTCCAACACCTCGTGTTCTGTCTTCATGAAGGCTGAACTGATAGATTCTGATGTTTGGCACCAGGATGGGGGTGGGGGCAGGCAGGATCTTTAAACAAAATACTTTGTACTAAAGTAAAATAATGGAATTTCCTACTTCCACCCAGCCTCACCCAGACCTCTTCCAATATTTTCAAGGCACGTCTTGTTTTTTTATTGCCCTTGCATTAACACGTCTACTTCAAGGAGCTTACCATGACCCAGGAAATGGAGGCTGACTAAAAATGGGGGAGAGAGGACAAAGAGACATAAAAGGAATTTTATGTTCTTTTTAAGGAGTCATTAAAGTGGCATAAAATAAGAATCCTTGAAATACATGCCTTGTTTAGATAGGACTCTGTCTGTGGCAAGGCAGAGGGCACTCAGTTTTGGCAGTTAACTCCTGGGTTGAGTTCGCAGCATTCAGTTGCATGTAATGAAAACCACGTCAGTCCTTTGACAAAGAGAAGGGCAGCAGAGGGAGTGTATGTGGATGGATCAGAGCTGCAGACCTCAGGTGAGCCTATGGTGGCTTCCCAAAAGACAGCCCAAGGTGACCCTTGGAGAACCAGCAGGCCCCAGGACCCACTGTTAGTCACAGGGTCATGCTACCTTAGCTGTGAGTCTGAGGTCAGGAAGCCATTGTCTTTAATGCAAGCCCCAGAGACATCCATCTGGGGCTAAGATCTGCAATCTGGATTCTGGCTCCAGCCTCACTAGCTTGGGCTGTGATCTGCTCGCTGAATCTGTACCTGCTGGGTGTGTCTCCCTTCCACACAACACAGGCTGGAATTTGAGTCTCACCGGACATGTTTGCAAAGGAGTCCAAGATATGTGACTTTTATTGGCCCAACTTCAGCAGTGCAAGATGGCTGGGCAGACAGGTTGGAGCAGAGGCTGAGCTGAGGGGATCCATGGGCTCTTGTTGCCATGGAAGTTTAGTTGAGGAAAGCAGGGTGTGTATTCTCTTTTTCTTGTTTTTATTTGTATTCATAGGAAGAGCAGCAGGAAGTCTGGGCCTGGGGTCTCAGGCCTGTCATCCCAGCATGTGGGAGGCAGAAACAGGAGGATTTCCATGTGTTTGAGGTCAGTCTGGGCTACATAGTGAGATCTGTTTAAAGTAAACACACACAAACAATGCCCCTGTGGTGGTGGCTATTCTTGGTAGTTAACTTGACTACATCTGTGCCAGAGCAGTTGGGCACACCTGTGAGGGATTTTTTTCTTAATTAAATTATTTGAAGTGGGAGACTCACTTTTAATACAGATCTTTTGAGGTGGCAAGATCCACCTTTAATCTGGGTCACACCTTCTACTGGCAGCCTATATACAGGACATGGGAGAAAGGAGCTTGCTTCCTTTTCCTGCTTTCTCTCTCTGGCAAGTCTATTCCTTCACTGGCATTAGAGCCTACTTCTTTGGGATTCTGGCATACACTGAAGACCAGCTGAGACATCCAGCCTCGTGGACTGAACAACCGCTGGATTCTTGGATCTCTCATTCGTAAACAACAATTATTGGATTAGCTGGACCATAGCCTGTAAGCTACTCTAATAAATCCCATATATACGTACATATATTCATTCTGTAAGTTCTGTTCCTCTAGAGAACCCTTACTAATATACTCACCCATGAGAACAACAAAATGCCCATGATGAATTTCTATTACAGGATTGGAATTATTTGGACTTTTATTAAGACCAGTATTCTTCCCAGGGAACTTCACTTGAGTGGAATGGCGTTGGAAGTCATTCTGGGTTGAGCGGTGAAATCTCTGGAAGCAGAAGCATGGTGAGAATCGGATAGAAGTCTGACTATGTTCCTTTGGGGAGGGTTATTTAAGGACTTTGGAGCTTCGGGCTAGAAGAACCATTGAGTGTTGAGAATGCAGTAGACTGTCCTGTAGGAGCTTAGAAGATGAGAATGTTGAGAGCAGTGCAGACCATGGAGGCCTGGCTTGTGAAGTTTCAGAGGCAAGCAAGACTCTACTGGGCACTTTATACTGGGCCATGTGTGTAAAGAATCTGTGGTATCTGGTCAGCTGGGGCTGAAGAATCTCAGCTGTGATTAAAAAGAGACCAGCATCACTGAAGTGAAATCTGGGAAATGTTTCCTGAGAACACAGAGAATCTGTGTTTGGAGGTGGCCCAGGTTGTACCTTGTGCTGGCAGCCATACTTGGTCAAGTGTAAGAGTTTCTCAGGTGGTTTCGAAGGCATGAAGGGGTCATGGAGAGCAGCTGAGGCTTGGCTGTGAGACGTCAATGTACCAAGACCATTGGTAATGGTGCGGCTGGAGTAGCAATGGAAACCCCCGAGACTGAAGGGCTATAGAGAAAAGTTGAGGCTTTGCATCATAAAGAGAGCCCCCAAGAGGCTATTGGTGGGAGCGCAGCTCAGGTGCAGCAAGAGACGCCAGTGTTTTAGAGATGGCAGTACCATGAGGTGACTTCCGAGAACAGCAGCAACAGTGGAGTGGAGCTGGTCTGCGTCCAGAAGACAAGCTGTGTGTGCTGCAGAGGGTGGAGCCTGAGAAGTGACCCAGGCCCCTGGGAGGAGCCCAGCAGATCGTGAGTGAATCCCAGACACTGGGCATTGAATTATTTATGCTGTGGTTTGGTTTTGCTTTGCTCAAATTGTGACTGTGTCCTGGTTCTTCCCTCTTGAAGTAAGAAAGTATTTAGCTTTTTTTTCTTTTTCTTTCTTTCCCTTTCCTTCCTTCCTTCCTTCCTTCCTTCCTTCCTTCCTTCCTTCCTTCCTTCCTTCCTTCCTTCCTTTTCTTCTTCTTCTT